TGACATTCATATTCATACCAGAGGATTATTGGTGCTGAAGATAACAGAATTCTCACAGAGATGGCAAAATTTACATGCTTGATTAAAGAAAGATCAGTTAACTGCATTTATTAGTGACTAGAAACACTTAATGAACTTTTTAGAAAAACGAACTTGTGATTTATCGGTTTGAAGATTAGAAAGGGTTGCTTATGGAGAATGCCGTACAAGTGGAGAGAAATGCCCAATGAGCAGGCAGAGAACTGTTAGCTGAAGACGACTTAGAAGAGCTAGTAAAAGGGAAAGGAAAAGCCAAAAGCCAAAACAATGGTAAATACCAAGCTAGCTGTCAACCTGCAAAACTTAGTGAATTTTGGGGGTGACAATGAAGTTAAAGTGGTAAATAGTGAAATAATGCAAGAAGATAACAGACTAGAAAAGACATAATACTTGGCAACACTGAGATAAATAGAAGACATTTAATCAGCCAGTTGGATGGGATCAAAAAAATTATTGGAAGACCTTGGATAGTTACATGTTATTACTGTATTAAGGGCAGGTCAAGATGATAAGCATTTGCACATTAGCCTGTTTTCCTCCGCACCATAGCAGCTGAAATCTCATAAGATATCTAATGGAACACCATAATACCATACGGCCTTGTACAAGAACATCAATGTTTTTAGATTCTAGCCATTTTTAATGTTTTTGTAGATGGGGCTCTAATCACTAACCATAATAAAGACTGCCTTGTAGACACTATAACAATATGATATCAACATCCTGGCTCCGGTTCGTATGATGTTGTTAAATGATACATAAACTATAAGTTACAAATCCAATCTGCCTGGTACAAACAGTCTTAAGCCAGAATTAAACACTTTACGTAACTTTCATAGGAAACCAGCTGCTAATCAGGTTGCTTTCTTATCACAGCAGTGCAGTAAGACTAAATTTGTTGGTAGCGCAATATTGACTGATCCTTCACAATGTCTTCTATCCAATACAAGTTGGAACCAGTGGAAGTCTTATTCATATTCACTCAAATTCTTTATTACTTTGAATCTTATATTAGCTTTCACCGCCCAACACAATCACAACGTCTGAAAGTTTTTCCATTAAGAATGTCATACATCTGAAATTTTCATCTGGTTACCTTAAAAACAGGAAGTAGCATTAAAATGTTACACTGTTTGGGGTTCTTTTACCTCAAAGTAAAACTGCAGGCTGAATAGGACTTAAACACGAATGAAGGCAAGTTTAGGACTTAAACAGCTTGACAGCTTTATTAAGTAAGAGTCAGTCCAATCAGTGCTGTGCATCAGCTGATCCTACAAGGTTTTGTTGAAAATTTTAAATTTGGAAAACAGAATATTTAGTAGATACAATTTCATCCTCCAAACCATGGAGAGCCATGATTTTTCAAATACAGCATTTTCTCGCTTTATCAATGACCTTTGCTATGTGCTATGCATCATCCAGAGGATTTTAAACCATGTCAGCATATTACCAACCTCTTTATTTTCAGTGAACTACAAACCCAAGATAAGCAACTGAAATGCAAATATGATACATAAAATCAGATGTGAAGAAACATTCAAATTTCCCTTTCTCTATTTCCTATTGAAATCAGCATTATAAACTCTTTTGAGGAGACAGATTTGGGTCCCTATGGAAGCATTACAAGGTCCTAGCTTAATCAGGAAATTACCACTTACATTTTCCCAGGAAAAACAAGTATTATCTATTCAAAGCAGCAGTTCATTGGGCAGGAAATTATGTATTTCAACACTGAAATGATTCTATTTATAAAAGAGAAATATGTGAGTGTTGTTCAACTTACAAATCTATATAAACAAAGGTTCTTAAGCATGTTACATTATACGCAGGTACAACAAATATATTTATATTTCACATATACTGAAATGTATCTATATAGTATACTTTCATTTTCCCAGATCGTGTATTTGTTACATATGTGAAAGTTTAAAAGAATGAAAGTTATCAGGAAAGCGTCAGCAGGCACTTACATGGTATCTGTTCTATGCTTATTGCTAAGCATGATAGACCATCAAGATCACTGGATTCAAATTATGTCCTAAAAATAATTTAGTTTGATTCTGGCTTAGGACAATAAGTGAATTATGGTTTAACATAAAACTCCCATGACTTGCACAGCAAACCATACTTAACATACTAACATAGCCACAAAGTGAGGCAGCAAATACCCATTGCTAAGAATTAAAGAGGATCTCACAGCTTATCATTTCAGACAGTGAGGCTAATCAAACATTAAGTTATTTAGGAAAGGGGGCAACTCAAACCCACAACCCATATAACTTTTATACTACTAAGCATTTATCCTAGTTTACAGATGTGTAGAGAGAAAAAACGTTTGTCCCTTAAGAAGTTTAGCCAGAATCTTATATATTTATGGACATTCTTCTCCACTATAGAATATGCCTTCAAATATGAAAATATAGAAATCCTGACTAGTATTGGGCTACTTGGGTTCTTATAAGAGGACATAAATACAGCTGTGGTGTTGTTTTACCAAATAATATAAGCTTAGGATACTTTGGAACAATAATAGAAGATATTCCTTGAAACATTCACAAGGCTTAAGTTGTAGTTGATGGTTAATGTATCAGAAACACTACCCAATATATATTGTTGAAATCAATAACACTAACCAAACTTTGAAATTAAAATGAACTTTCACCTACTTTTCTCATAAAGCTATTTAGGTGTGATTCTATCGAAATAAAAAATGTTGATATTGGTCCATCTCAGAGAGTAACTTGTTGAATTCTCTCTTTTTCCTTCAACTCACAAGTTGCTCTGGGCACTATCTTGTTTTCTTAATCAGCAACACAAGTGCTACATAAAACTGACACAATTCATCAAGTGGTAATCATACCAAGATAACCCGGCCCAGCTGATAATAGGCCTGCCTGCGTGGCACTGTTTTTTTTTAATTTGTATGAGAGTGACCCATCCATTAGCAACACCAAGTAGATTTGCACAATACCTCGCCAGGCTGAAAATCCAAATAGTTAATACCAATAGTCCTCGACTTACAACAGTTCATTTAGTCACTGTTACAACAGCACTTACAACCAGTTTTCACACTTACAACCGTTGCAGCCTCCCCATGGTCACATGATCAGAATTTGGCCGCTTGGCAATTGACTCATATTTATGATGGTTGCTCTGTCCCGGGGCCACGTGATTCCCTTTTGCGACCAGCAAAGTCAGTGGGGAAAACAGATTCACTTAACAACCGTGTAATCAGCTTCACAATTACCATGGCTCGCTTAACAACAGTGGCAAGAAGAGCAAAAGCCATTGGACCAATGTCTTGCTTAGCAACCTAAAATACTGAAGTGCAATCTGCCCCTTTGTGCTCCATGGTTACGTGATCAGAATTCAGACGTTTGGCAACTGACTCATATTTATGACAGCTTCAGTATCCCGGGTGACATGTGATCGCCCTTTTGTGACCTTCAGACAAGCAAAGTCAGTGAGGAAGCCAGATTCACTTAACGACTGGATTGCTAACAACTGCAGCGATTCCCTTAACAACCGTGGCAAGAAAGGTTGTAAAATGGGACCAAACTCATTTAACCGCCGTTTCGCTTAGCATCAGAAATCTTGGAGTTCTGTTGTGGTCATAAGTCGAGGACACCCCCCACCCCGGCAGAAGCTTCACCCGGGTGCAGTGAGAATGCAAACAGATCAGGTCAATTAAGGGGAATATTTGTAGCTCAGGGTTGACATGAAAAGGATCCTTGGTGCTCTCTGAGCTTGGTTGTTTTCCTGCATAAGTTTCATTATCCAAACTAGGTGATAGGTAAAAAAAAAAAAAAAAAAACAATAACTAGCCCTGCTGATGTTACCTATTTGGATAATGAAATGTCTGCAAGAAAACCGCCAAGGTTAGAGAGCCCCAAGGAACTCTAGGATCAGGTATGGGTAGTCCTCGCCTTACAACAGCTCATTTAGTGACCATTCAAAGTTACATCACCGAAAAGAATATGACTTATGACCGGTTTTTTTCGCAGTGATGACCTTTCCAGCCACTCCATCATCACGCAATCAAAATTCCGAGACTTGGCAATTGTTTCTATTATCTACAACCATTTGCTGTGCCCTGGGGACGTCACGTGATGGCAACCTTCTGACCAACAAAGTCAACAGGGGAAACCAGATTCACTTAACCACCGAGTTTACTCATTTTATTATCTATCACCGGTGATTCCCTTAACAACCGTGGCAAGAAAGGTCGTAAAACAGGGGCCAAAGTCACTGAAGAAGCGTTTCTCCCTTAACAAGACGTAACATTGGGCTCCCCGTTGTGGTTGTAGAGTCAAGGCCTAGCTGTAAAAGTCCTGGAGGAGATTCTCTTTGGCTACCCTTCGGTGTAAATCACTTGCAAAAACCACTGTGTGGTGTAATTGAGAGGGGGAGAAGCAAAACACGGGTGTAATAGAGAGGCAGGGTGAATGGGTGAGGGGGATTTTATAGCCTGGCCACAGCTTTGGAGGCTGGGAAGGAAGGAAGGAAGGAAGGAAGGAAGGAAGGAAGGAAGGAAGGAAGGAAGGAAGGAAGGGAGGGAGGAAGGGAGGGAGGAAAGAAGGGAGGGAGGGAGGGGGAAGGAGAGAAGGAAGGAAGAAGGGAGGGAAGGAAGGAAGGAGGGAGGGAAGAGAGAAGGAAGGAGGGACGGAGGGAGGAAGGAGGGAAGGAAGAGAAGTAGGGAGGGGGGAGGAGAGAAGGAAGGAGGAGGGAGGAGAGAAGGAAGGAAGGAGTGAAGAAAGGGAGGGAGGGGGAGAAGGAGAGAAGGAAAGAAGGAGTGAAGAAAGGGAGGGAGGGGAGGGAGAGAAGGAAGAAGCGCTCCTCGCGGCTCTTTCTTCCCCTTCCAGGGTCCTCCCGGGGATGCTCGGCAGGCAGGATTCGGCTGGATAAGGCCCGAGCCCCGGCCCCACCCGCCGCCTAACCCCCCGGAGGGAGTCGCTGCTCACCACTTGGTACCGACTGACGGGCTGCTGCTGCTGTTGCTGCTGGTGCTGCTGCTCCATGATGGCGGCAGCGGGGGTCGGGGCGGGGGCGCGTCGGGCCTAGCCGCCTCAGCGCTCTCCTTCTTTTTCAGCTCCGGGCCTTCTGCTTTTTCTTCGCTCCTCCCGGTTCCGTCTTTCTCCGGCTCTGCTTCGCTCCGGCGGTGAAGCTGGCTCCTCCTCTGACGACCGCCTCCTTCCTCCTCCTCCGCCGCCTCCTCCTCCTTCTCGGGGAGCCGGCCGTTCGCTTTCCCCGGCCGTTCGCCTCAGGAGGAATCCGGGAGTGAAACGCGCCAAAGAGGCGAAGAAACGGCTGAGGAGGGTTCAGAGGGTCTTTTGAGAAAAGACTGGGCTGTCAGAAATGGTGTTTAGGGTCTCCTGCTTGGGCATGGGGGAAGAAGGTCCCTTTCATCTCTTCTGTTGCTATTCTGTTCTCCTCTTCTTACTTTATAGCCCATACAACTACCCTGGATGGACTACAAGATGGACTACAAGGTCCAACCCTTCTGTTATTCTGTTCTCTTCCTTCACCACCCACACGACTACGTGGGGTTGGACTAGATGACCTCTACAAGGTCCCTTCCAATTCTTCTGTTGTTACTCTGTTGTTCTCCTCTTCCTTTACTGCCCACATGACTACGTGGGGTTGGACTAGATGACCTTTACAAGGTCCCTTCCAACTCTTCTGTTGTTACTCTGTTCTTCTCCTCTTCCTTTACCACCCACATCTAGTTGGACTAGATCAGGGGTCTCCAACCTTGGCAACTTTAAGCCTGGAAGACTTCAACTCCCAGAATTCCCCAGCCAGCTTTGCTGGCTGAGGAATTCTGGGAGTTGAAGTCCACAAGTCTTCAAGTTACCAAGGCTGGAGCCCCCTGGACTAGATGACCTCTACAAGGTCCCTTCCAACTCTTCTGTTATTCTGTTCTCCTCTTCCTTTACAGCCCTGATCATGTTCCACACCCCTACGGGGAGTCCTCCACTTACAACCGCCCTGGAGCCCAACGTTTCTGTTGCTCAGCGAGACATAGGTTGAGTGAGTTCAACCCCTCCACTTTTACGACTTTTTATTTTTTTTGCCATGGTTGTTAAGTGAATCCCTGCCGCCAATGCGTTAGTAACCCAGATGATAAAGTGAATCTGGCTTCCCGTGGACTTTGCTTAGGAGAAGGTTGCAAAAGGGGTTTGGGGGCCCTGGGACACAGCTACAGTCATAAATACAGGTAGTATTTATAGGTAGTTCTAGATAATTCTTGACTTAGGACCACAATTGAGGCCAAAGTTATTGCAAGGCAGTTGTTAAGTGAGTTTTGCCCCATTTTATGACTTTTCTGACCATTGTCGTTAAGTGAATCGCTGCAGTGGTGAAGTTAGTCACACAGTGAATTTGGAATCTTCCCCATTGATTTTTCTCCTCAGAAGGTCACAAAAGGGGGTCAGGTGACCCAAGGACACTGCAACCATCACAAATGCAGGTAGTCCTCAATCTACAACAATTTATTTAGTGGCTGTTCAAAGTGACAACGGCGCCTGGAAACAGTGACTTGATGGCCTTTCAAGCAATAAAATTTCCTCATGAGATGATTTCTTACAGTTAACTTCAAGATACATAGATGAATGGATGATAGATATAAATAGATAGATATGGATGATAGATAGATAGATAGATAGATAGATAGATAGATAGATAGATAGATAGATAGATAGATAGATAGATGATAGATAGATAGATGATAGATAGATAGATAGATAGATAGATAGATAGATAGATAGATAGATAGATAGATAGATAGAAACAGTTACATAGAGACAATTATAGAGAATGTTCAAAACATTCTGAAAGATCCATCTCATCCTAGGCACCCTTTTTTTTTAACTATTACCATCTGGCAGACGGTACAGGATAATAAAAACAAGGACAAATAGGCTGAAAAACCAGGGCGGTAACTCTATCCCAGGGCAGTAACTCTATTGAATTCTACTGTATAGTGCAATATTAATGTCATATAAGGGGTTTTCAATTCAATGTATAGAATGTGAAGGATGTGTGTTTGTGTTTATTTTCATAGTCATAATATACACTGAAGATGGTATTTAATTTTGTTGTATGGGGTGCAATGACAATAAAGTATGTATATGTGTATGTGTATGTATATGATGTATATGTATATGTATATGTATATATATATATGGTATTCAGCTTTGTTCAGGTATTTTCCCACGTCACTGTAGTATACTACAATTGTATATACAATTGTAGTAAAATACCCGAACAAAGCTGAATACCATACATGTAAGTACCCGTGAAAACTTAAGAAAACATATATATGTATATGTATATGTGTGTGTGTGTGTATACACACACATACACATACATACATACATACATACATGCATACATACATACATGCATACATACATACAACAAAAATTTAAACAATGCATAAGATGTATTTCAAGTCTACCTGGCCCCTTATTTTTCCAAAGTCAACATTCTAGTCCCCCTATTGCCAATTTCCAAAAGTATTTTTTTTCTTTTATAACCCTTACATTTATATGAAGCTTCTTTCATCAAAAGTGGAAGAAAACTTTCCCGGCACAGTAAACCTTGCCCTTCAGGTGTTGTTTTTTTTACATTCCAAAAAATCAATGATAAACTATTTCCTAATGTGGTTAAGAGAGGAGGTGGGCAAACCAAGCGCCCAACTGAAGAAGCTGAATTGTGGCTTGAGCAAGATGCTTATCTCACTGGCTTCCAAAGTTCTAAAACTGCCTGGATATTGGTATTTTACAGTCTCTTTTGGGGAGGCTCCCTATGGTGCAAATTTATGAGTCATCCTAGCCCTCTCCTTGATCTGGGGTTTTTGATGAATCCTTCACCGGTTCCTCTTCTTACCGTGCCGGTTTCCCTAACGCTTTCTTCATTCTGACATTATTTTCCCGGAAATTCAAAGATTAGTTATTCTTATTGCTGCTATTGTGCTGTGATGTGAATAGTTGTTTATACTATCTGTTCTCGTTCTCTCATATCCAGGAGACTAACAGAGCATATTTTCTTCTCCATCTAACTTCAAGAATCCTTACTTAACACTTAGCAACACCCTGTTTATCATAGTTGCAAAGGCCTATGCTCATTACTTTTCAGCCTCTTATAAGTAAGGACTTGAGGTAGGAGGTGATAATTAGGTCACCGGGCAAATAAAAGGCTTTTTTTTTTTTACAACCCACTCCACTATCCTACACATTTGCTTTGTTCAAAGCCACAAAGCACATTAGGTTCTTTCTTCGTAATATAGGCATGGCCATTACCTCTATTCTTTGTGACATTTGAATCATAAGACCTGAGATGTTAAAAACAAAATCTATATTGCTAGAATGAACTCATTAAAAGTTTGTTATCACAAGAAATACGTCACTCCTTTTAGTTAATGGAGTTAATGGTGTTCAGAGCTGAAAAAGAGGAGAGAGCTATTTTTACTAGAGAGCTGTATGGGGTTCTCAATTATGTTTCCAGTTCCTTTATGGTACAAATGAAATTTTCAGCCATATACAGGTAGTCCTCAGCTTAAAAACAATTATTTACTGACCATTCGAAGTTAGAATGGCACTGAAAAAGTGACTCACGACCGTTTTTCACACTTGCGACCATTGCAGCATTCCCTAGGGTCACGTGATCAAAATCCAGATGCTTGGCAACTGGTTCATAATATATGACGGTTGCTGTGTCCTGGAGTCACGTGATCATCCTTTGTGACTTTCAGACAAGCAAGGTCAACGGGGAAGCCAGGTTCACTCAACAACCATGTTACTAACTTAACAACTGCAGCGATTTCCTTAACAACTGTGGCAAGAAAGGTTGTAAAATGCGACCAAACTCACTTAACAACCGTTTCGCTTAGCCGCATGAATGTGGGGCTCACTTGTCATAAGTTGAGGACTACCTCTATGTCAGATGGCTGTGGGGAAAGGTGAGGGACATGTGTTTTGTTAGTTTTGGCTTAGCATGAGGTCCTTAATAAATTATGGTTATCAAATGACCACGTAGTATGATGCATCCCTCTAATTACAAAAAAGGTTTGCACGCCAAGCCGTATATTCACTTTTCTATTTTTGCTGAGCTGGTCAACATTACCTATTTTGTTCTTCTTATCCCAAGTCAGTGGAAATAAGATGCAACTGTAGGAATGAATGCTTTGCAGTCCCATTTTTTTTCCATTTCTCCTCTTTTCTCTTTATGAATTAGAGCCATTAGTCTAGATCCAGATAACATGCTGGATAGCAATAGCACTTAGACTTTTATACTGCTTTACAGGGCTCTCTAAGCGGTTTACAGAGTCAGCCTATTGTCCACAACAATCTGGGTCCTCATTTTACCCACCTTGGAAGGACGGAAGGCTGAGTCAAGCTTGAGCCTGGTGGCATTTGAACTGCTGAATTGCAGGCAGCTGATAGCAGAAGTGGCCTGCAGTACAGCATTCTAACCACTGCGCCACCAAGGCTAATTGGATAATAGTTAACTTAAAACAAATCCCGGGTACAAAGTTGAATAACTTTACCTATGTTATAGGACTGGACTATGCTGTAGTCCAGTCATGACATAATATATCTGCTTATAAAAGGAGGAGGAAAACTTCTCAGCTAAAAAAAAAAAAAAAAATTACAGTCCTACCTAGAAATGCCAGGGATTAAATCTGGTTTTCTTCTGATGCAAGTCATAAACTTCAGTCAGTGATCTGCAGTCTTTCCCCCAAGGTTACCATGTCAGACTTGCAATTTCCAAACTATTTATGTAATCCTATTTATATAATTTATAATTATATAAAATATTATATAATTTATAGAATATGTCCTTTATACATCTAGTCCTCAACTTACGACCACAACGGAACCCAAATTTTCTGTTGCTAAGGGCGACAGTTAAGCGACTGAAGTGAATTTTAGAACTTCCTTGCCACAGTTGCTGAGGGACTCACAGATCTTGTTGAGTTAATAACATGGTTGTTAAGTGAACCTGCCTTCCCCGTTGACTTTGCTGGTGAGAAGGTCTCAAAAGGTTGATCGCGTGATTTACCTAAATCTTACTTTTAACATAAATACATTTTACATAAATAAACTTTAACCGTCATCAATACGAACCAGTTGCCAAGCGTCTGAATGTTGATCACGTGACC